TTCTGCTTGACCAGCAGTCTTATGAGGTAATAAATCACCCCTAAGTCCCACCTGGCCTTGGGCAACAGCAGTGCGAGTGCTGATCAGAGACCAAGGCAAGGGGTGTTTGGAAAATGGGTTGGAATGGTAGCCACCATAACTGGCCATAACACTGCAGTGTGGAAGGCAAAAGAAAACCACCATGGTATATATTCCAGGTTTTCTCATCATGGCTAGACATGCATCTAAAAATAGTCTAGCCATGATGATGTCCAGCTCTGGTAAGAGGGGCATGAGAAACAGAGGAGGAGGGGAGATACCAAGAGCTTTTCCAAGGGATATTGTGACTCACCAGTGGGTGAGAGTGTTCCTAATGCTTTCAGCCAAAAGACATGTTGTGGCTATTCTGTTTTGATGTGCTTAACAGATTCTTCAGTGGAAAAGGGAAATGGAAGAGGCTGTGGGAAAACACAGGAGGCTTGCATGTGAAGGAAGGCCTCATTGGAACCTTGGGCACTTGTGCAAATGAGGCAGGGCGATTGCACAGTCTCTCCCCATTTGGAGGCCTCATCAGTGTCACTACAGGAAAGAGGGCAAGGGAGGGGCAGGAGCGTGGGATCTCAGCCTGGGGGCCAATTCCAGCCTGCTGGGGGCCAAAAGCTGTCCCAGCAGAGTTTGCCAGGTGGCCATGCCCCCTTGCTCACCCCAGCTTTCCCAACCATCAGTCATTAGCTTGTGTGCAGCACTTTGGCCCTTCCCTGAAGCCCAGGAAGGGCTCTGCTAAAACATACCAGTAGTACATGGGTTTGGGATGTGGCCCTGGGAAGCTTATCTGAAATGGAATTTTGCCCTTGGGCAGAGTTTTTACACCTCTGTCACAAAGGGTGCAGTTGCTGCCACCTTTTCCAATCTGGCACCATCTGTGTTGGGTCAAAACAGCATCATTCCCTGTGAACATATCACAGGGGGTAATGGATCTGGGGAGGGCTGTCTTATCTAGGTATGACAGGAAAGTACACCAGATCTCACCATCACAGCTGCAACTTTATGTGCAGCTGGATCTGCTTAAACTGGAGTGCATTCGTCTATTGGGAGGCATGTGTGTGAATGGATGCGCCCCTATGCCACCAATCCAGATTCTGTGCAGATCCCAAGCCCATAATCTCTGAACGAGTATGCATATGCATGATGATTCAGAGCACAGCAGGAAGTAAGGGGAAGGAGGAACAGGAGATGAGCTGCTGTTAAAGCATTTTATTCATCAACAGCCTCTCAAGATGCACAGCCTTACTATGGAAACAAGCTCCGGCTTGAACTGCTACAAGAAGCTGAGTACTGTGGCACCCCAAAGACAAAAACAGATGTCATGACAAGAGCGTTATTCCATGAAGCGTCTACTCCACCAAATATTATCCTAAATGAATATTTTCAGGCAATAGGCTCAGAGGAAGATCCAGGGTCATTCCATTTGCACCTGCCATGCACAGATCACATATACTGTGATAAGGTAAGTATGATCTCAGGTAAGAAATCAGTGGAGTCTCTTCTTACACAGCAACCTCAAGGCATGTTGCAAATAAACCACACCACTAAAGATTAGAACAATTATGCACAAACACGCACACAGGCACACTCACGGTTTGCTGCTGCTTCCTGAAATTCCCCACCCCCAACAGTAATAATTTCTTTGCAAGGTGCAAAGTATGAATACTCTGGAAGCTTAGGAATTATCTTTAGGGAAAACTGGAAATATTTCTTCTTGGTGGAATATGTTTATCTCACAAACATAGCCATAATTAATGTTATGGCTTTAAAAAGTGAGCATTTTTTCCTCAAGGATCATTTGGGTAGGTATGGCTTAGGCCTAAAAGGGGGGGGGGGGGGGCACCATTTACAGACCTCCAAATATTTAGCTTACTTTTCCCACAAGTGTTAATCAGCAGAGCCAATGTTGCTCTGAGATTATGGGAGCTGTAGGCCAAAACATCTGGAAGGCCACAAGTTGCCCACCTCTGGCTTAAAATCTCAGCAACTGAAACTGTACTTTGGAGTGAGTGAGATTATGGCTGGTTCTACTTCATTGTAATGAAGGTGAATGTGGGAGGGTGTGTGTGTGTGTGTAAACATTCACAGAATTTGCTGGACAGGAAACAAAGCTGCTTCCAGCCAGGAAAAAAGATGCATTGTACAATCAGTTTGGATGGCCCATGGACTGCCCCAACCCTGTAGATGAAAAATAAAAAGCTCTACTGATTTCAGTGCAACTTACTTCTCTCCCACAGAGGTGTGCTCAGAACCCTGAGGTTAAAATACTTAACTTGGGTGATTGCTAAATGATGCTTGGATGGTGACTTGTGGACTTGGTGATTTTTTTCTTCTCTTCTCTGTGTATTTATCCTAAATGATGAAGTTTAGAAGTAAATGATGTGAAAAGGTTTCGGCCCCAGGAAGAAAATAACTCTTCAGGTAAGATTCAGATTCCCAATAGCATCTTTCCACAAATGGTCATGTTCTACTTTGTGAGCAAACACTGAGAATCAAGCATCACATACACCCAAATCCTTTCTTTCAGCGGGCAACAGCTGGGTTATTTGTTCTTTTGTTATCTAAGCTGTGAAATGGGCTTGTCAGAATGATTTCTCTTCTGGGCCAATAACAACAGCCATTTCTGTCTTCCTCCTTCATCATCGCCACTGCCAGCGGAAGAGATCCTGCGTGTCGGAAGATGCACCTTCTCGTCTACCTGAAATTCATATACCGATGGACCGGGCTGGCAGGGTGTGTATGTGCGTGCACGCGCACGCGTGTGCACATTTCAGAGGCAGACGAAAAATGCCCCGTAGCTAATGTCAGATGTTGCTTTCTTTGGCAAAAGCGGGTGAGAAGAGCAGTTGCTAGTCTCTCCTTACCCACTTGGGCTCAGCTTGTTCTTTCCTACCAAATCAAGGAGGCTAAATGCGAGCCTTTATCCGGCCCCTTGCTCTCTTTGTCTCCAGCTGAAATAGGAAGAGGCGACCCCCCCTTCCTGCAGCCCCCCAGCCCTTTTCCTCTTCTGCCATCGAATTACAGGCTGCCATGTAGACCGTGGGCACCCCTGCGCTCTGCAGCTCTCTTGGTCTTCACCGCCCCGTCCTTTGTTCGCTTCGGCATCCCGGGAGAAGCTGCGGCTGTCGGCGGCGGACCCCACTTGCGGCCGTTCCCACAGCGCGCCCCTGGAGCCATCGCCATTCATTCGGAGGGCTGCACGCACCGCGGGCGGGGAAGCCGATCGCCCGCACGGGAAAGGCGGCCCGCGCCTCTTCTCGAGCCCCGTGAACGCGATCCCCGGTGCCATGCCCCACCCCCAGGTCTGAATCGCACCCAAGCACCCCAAGGCGCCCCACCCGCGCTCGCTCGCTCGCTCGCTCGCTCGCTGCGCGTCTCTGCCAGGGCGCTCTCCATTTCCCCGGGGCTGCGACTCGGGGCTCTCTCCCCCTCCCGCTGCATTAGGACCCAGGGAGAACTGCTGTATGCAGAGCCCTGCGCGCCTGCGCGATACTGAAGTGTCCGGAGACCGGGCTGGCTGGACCGAGCGGCGAAGAGCGGCAAGAAGAGCGGCGGCGGCGAGTTCTCTGGCAGCCCGCCTTCAGCACCACCTGCGAGAGCTCTCGGGCGGCGGGCGCGTGGGAGGGAGCGGCGAGCAGAGAGAGACGCGCCGATCTTCATCTCTCCGCGCAGCACGACCCACCTGAGGCTTCAGCGGTCCCTGCCCCGCCTGGCTGGACCGCCCGCTCCGAGGGGGAGGCGCGAGCAAGAGAGCCCCCGTCGGATGCCCGCTCGCTTCCCTCCTCCCGCGCTGGCTTCCCCTTTCCGGCGGGAGCAAGCCTCGCTCTCCCCGCTCCCCTGCCAAGGGAAACCTGCGCTGGTCCGAGGACTGCGGGAGCGCTGTCCGCTTCAGCACCACGCCACTCCAAGCCGCCGGCCCGGTGCCTAAGCCGTTCCTCCGTTCCCAAGAGGGGGCCCTCGGGCGCAAGTGGCAGGTGCCACTGCTGCAAAGTGTGAGCTGCGCCGGCAAGTGAGGGAGCCAAAGAAGACACAGCGAAGGCTGCGCGGACGGATTTCGTGGCCTTTTGTCTGAATCGGAGAGCTGCAGTTGGAATATCATTCGATCGATCCATTTCCACCCCACCACCCCACACCTCCCAGTCCCCCGTGTTGCTTTGCTATTGCTTCGTCGTCATCGCCACTCCTTTAGATGCCTTGAATTTCGCGTGTGAGGTTCTTTTGTTCGAAAATCTACCTACACATTCGGATTGCTACGTGTTGAGCTCTTCCTGGCTGCCACTTCTTTCTTCTGCCTCTGCCTCTAGGACCAAAGTGCAGGACAATTTGGTTTAAGAAGCAACAGCCTCTCCAAGAGATTTGCTCTGATTGCTGCAGCTGGGCACTGGTATCTGCCCCCTTTCTTCCTCCCGTGTGTGCGTGTGTGTGTGTGTGTGCGCGTGCGTGTGTGGTGTCTGTACTGCAAGCCCTTATTACGCTTCCTCCAGTCTCTTGTTGCAGGCATCTACCCACCCCAGCTATTCCCTTTCCCAACCTCTGCGTAGGTCAGCTGTGTGCCAGGAGATGTATTAATTGCCATATCTGACTGAGGGAGCAATCACCCTTCCTGAGTACCTCTCCCACCAACCATCCCTCACAATCACTGTTCCTGAAGGCCGTGTCTCATCGGGTTTTTCTTTCTTTTCCTTTCTTTCTGTAGGCTCCTGAACCCTTATTTTAAGTGACACACAGATAGAGAGTTTTCATTGCCCAGTAAAGAGCCTGTATCTGCCATCATTAACTTGCGTGGGTATTCCTGATGTTGCATCCCTGGCAGTGAAGAGCACAGGTGGCTAAAGACGGTGGACACCTTTCCTGGAGGCACCCCTTGTCCTCATGGATAAGGTGTCGAGCTAGTTGTTGATCGCAGGCAAGCAGACTCCCCCTCCCCTTATGTGCTTGCTGTGTGCCGTGCTTATTTGGATGAGTCCACGACATGCCTAAGAAGAGGCGAGATGGGCCAGGGCGACGAAAGCGATCGCATTGTGATCAATGTGGGAGGGACTAGGCATCAAACGTACCGCAGCACCTTGCGCACCTTGCCTGGCACTCGGCTGGCCTGGATTGCTGAACCAGATGCCCACAGTCACTTTGACTATGACCCCCGCACGGATGAATTCTTCTTTGACCGGCACCCAGGTGTCTTTGCCCATATCTTGAATTACTACCGCACAGGTAAGCTGCACTGCCCAGCAGATGTGTGTGGACCACTGTATGAGGAGGAGCTGGCCTTCTGGGGCATTGATGAAACTGATGTGGAGCCCTGTTGTTGGATGACCTACAGACAGCACCGTGATGCTGAAGAGGCCCTTGACAGTTTTGGTGGGGCACCTTTGGATAGCAGTGCTGATGATGGAGATGTGGATGGCACTGGAGACTCAGGTGACGGCGAGGAGGAGCTGGAGATGACTAAACGCTTGGCACTCAGTGATTCCCCAGATGGAAGGCCTGGGGGCTTCTGGAAGAGGTGGCAGCCCCGTATCTGGGCTTTATTTGAGGATCCCTATTCCTCCAGATATGCAAGGGTAAGCCATGCAGTCCGAATGCAGAATGCCTTATCTATACACACTCAAGGAGGGCATTTGAATCAGTTCTCACTACCAGTCCCTGTTTACCTTCCAAGCCCTGGATACTAATGAAGGGCAGGCAGAGAGCCATGTGCCTTCTATGGCAGGCACCACGTGAGTACGTGAAAGCCAGCCCTTTGGAACAAGGACAGGTGTAAGGGCATTATAATGCACTCATTTCCATGAGGAAACAAAATATTGTGAAAAGAAAGCAGGATTCCAATCTATTCTAGGTAGACACCATGCAATAGTCACAAAAGCGATGGCCTAGAACAGCATCTCCCAACTTGATGCCCTTCAGATGCTGGCTGAGGGATATCGAGAGTTGTAGCCCAATATATCTGGAAGGCACCAAGCTGGAGAACATTGTCCTAGAGTATTTTGTTGTCTAGCTCTTCTTCACTGACCGCCCTACCTTTTTTCTCTTTCTCTCAACAAGGTGAAGATCTATTCATTACTTAAAGCCAGTTGGTTGAAGGTTTGTATGCTGAGGAAGGATTTGTTGTTGTTCTTTCTTTCTTTTTTTTCTTTTTTTGCTGAGCTAAAATGACACTCTCTTTTGTCTGATTTCCAAGCCAAAAGGCAGATACAATACTTCAGGTTTCATTTTCACTCCAGCAGTGGCATTTTTAGTCTACTAAGGTGGTTCATACTAAGACATGCACCTTGAAAGCTGTCTTTATTGCAAAGGGAAAGGAGTATTCTTCACTTTCCATACCAGAAACTGGGAGCAATGGGAAACAGTTTGTGTGTTCAGCATATCAACCATAAACGTGATTGAAACAGGCAATACTCTTTCTGATTCAAAACCAGAAGCTTTGTTGCTATGAAGAAGATGCTCTTGTGCTAATCTCAGGACAGATTCTGCTCTATTTGATGTCATCAGCAAAACACACAGTGACGTCAGTGGGGGCTGGATCACTCTCATGGAGTGGTTCCTTAGAGACATTTTGAAAAAAAGAGAGGGTGGATGGATGGATGGAAAGGTGCTTCATAATGTGTGTGTGTGCGCGCACGCGCACACGTGTTCACATTCATTTTAAGACCACCACACAAAAACAAACCATATTTTTCCATCCATCCATCCATCCATCCATCCATCGCCTCAATCTTCCACAGTTTCTATATATTGCAGATGTTATATAAAGTTGTTCCTTCATCCTATCCATAACTTGATTTGTGTGTGTGTGTGTGTGTGTGTGTGTGTGTGTGTGTGTGTGTGAATTGACTGATAAAGATTTCCTGCATAGAAAGAAGATTGGGATAAGGCTAAAAGACATTTGGGAAACAGTTGTATAGAAGAGGATGAGCACATTTGATGAGAATGCCTGGATGAATGACTGGGTGCATGATACAATTGAACTTACTTACTGGAAGCATCCGCCTCAGTAAATATCTTACAAAGGGAACTGGTGCCAGGTTGGCAAAGGAATGAATGAGATAGTCTGCTTGGAGGAAAGCCCTGAAATGCTTTCTACACATATTCTTTTAGGTGACTGTGCTTTCTTCGCATGCTCTGTTGAGATTGCCTACTGAATTAGCAAGTTGAACATTCTGAGTCTTTAAATAGTGTGAAGAAGATGAGATTAATTAAATATTTACTACAAGATAAAAGAAGAGTGTTCTTGAGCGGTAACTTCTGGATTCCAGCGATCTTTTCCAGGGGAATGTGAAAGTGTGGAGGGAAGGACAGGAGGCTAGTTCAGAGAGTTCATGCGGGCTTTCTGCTATAAGATACAAGAAATAGGAACACAGAGAGGATGTGGAGGAGTCTTTATGCCCACCACCCCAATACTTCCCACACACCTAATTAATTACATACAGACCAGGATCAGAGCTATCCTGTCCTAACTGGCATTGTCTTGTGCAATGATGCTCAACTGAAAACTCAAAACAGGCTGTTTTCGAGGAGATACTACAGTTCAGGGATAAAGCATGGGCTTTGCAAGCAAGCGGTTGAATCCATGGTATCTCCAGTCTGAACTATTTCAGACTGACACCCTGGAGCTGCTGCTAGTTTCAGTAGAAGACAAGACTGAGCAAGATGCAGCAATGACCCAATGGAGGGTTCATCATATTATACGGCTATAAATCAAACAATAAAGCAGCTGTAGGGGTAACTTGTATTTTTAGTGGGATTAACATTGATTCCGCAGCACACACCTACAGCATCCTATTTATATGTTCTTCTGGTGAAAAGATATAACTGGATCATTCCTGATCTTTTCTCATTAGCAGGTTTTGTTATTCATAATTCAGCTGGGGGAGGGATGGGTTGTTTCTTTTTGTATGTGTGCTGTAAGAATGATTTGGATTTGTTTTGCCATGATCTGTCTTAAAAGGTACCATGGCTGGATACTCTCCTTAAATCATGACATTATATAGAACTTAAAGGAAACTATCAGAAGATATAAACAGGTAGACTTTTTAAAACAAATCTATCTAATATGTTCATGAGCCACCCATTAAGGGTACATCACCAGAAACTTTACATCCTATAATGCAAACAGAAATTAATGGATATGTAAATAAAGGAGCACTTGGATCCATGCTGTGATAAGTTAATTGCAGGCCACACAAAAGACCTCAAACTAGCTATGAGGAAAAAGATCAATAGGTTCATTAGCATGTGAACTTCTTTAAAAACAGGTTAAAAAGAATGAAATGTTTATCTTGCACAGATGCATAGGTAAAGTGTCATTAATCTTTCTGTACTGTTTCTAAATACTTGCATTATCTTAAGGCTGGCATTTGCAGTTTTCAAATGACTTTGTCTTTAGCTGTAACCAGTTGCCATATCGTACACATGGGATCATGTTGCTGAAGGTGAATCTTATATTTGCAGTCTTTGGAGATTCTAAAGCCTTTCAAAATACCTGCAATGGAGTACTGTTTTTCAGAGTACCTGTTATGAGAAATGTTCCACTGCATTTCAGTTTTCCTTCTCCTTTGAAATTGTGCCCATGTAAGAAACATCAGACAATATAGAAAAGCAGAAAAGCATTTATATTCAATGCTGAGTGGAATACAATTTCTTCATCCTTTCCAAAAATACATGCCAGTATTGCATGATTATCATGTGTAACCTGTGCCATGTATTCACAAATCTCTTGTTTCCAAAACACATTTCAGAATGTAACCATCTGAAACTTGTTTATTTGCGATGGATTCATCCACGGGGACTGCCTCCCTCCTCACATTGTGTGGCCAACAAAGAAAGGGGTGAGATTAAAAACTATTATATGCTGCACACACCTGCAATGAGAAAACACAAATTCCAGTTCATTAGATTTATGGCTATAATAAATAGAGGGAAATCAGTTTTGAAAGCTCAGGTAACCAAGGCACCTGTTTTAAGTGGAATGTTGCCCTATGTAGTACTTTTTCATATATTATAGATAAACCAACAGCTAGGAAAATAAGCTAGGCTATCTAATGCAATAAGTAAAAACAAATCAGGTGATCATTGACATGTAGTAAAATATAGACAGTCAGTCCATTCTCAGAGTGTGGATCCTTTGGGTGCCGAAGGGGCACCCTCCGTGCACAAGGGGAAAGTATCAGCAGGTTGGAGTAGGGATAGTTCAAGGCTTGCAGAAGCTTTGAAAGGGAATCTTCAGGGGAAAGCTTCTGAAGTGGAGGAAGACTGTCCTGTCTCAACTGGAAGGATCCTCTTCAGAGGATGATCTGGAGCCCACAGAAACAAGTCATTTCAGGAGATTCTGGGGCTGGCCAATAGGGAGAGCCAGGACCCTCAGGAGAGCAGGCTTCAGAACCGCTTTCCTAGACAGTGGGAAGTCCGCTTCTGAGTCAGAGGTGGGTGTCAAGCCATCCCCCCTTGTGCCCTTGAAAACCGACAGGGCAAAGGAGTGCCCCCTGGCAGGAGAGGGTTCCTGTGGGCAAGGCGCGCCTGACAACTAGGGGCTTTTGCCAGGGCATCAGGAACAAGCTGCAGCAGAGCCCTGGGTGGGTGCTCCAGAAGCCTTCAGTGCCAGGCTAGCACTGCACCGGTGGCACCTTTCCTGGTGGTTTTGTTCAATGGCTGAACCTTTGTGCTACTGACCTGTGGCTTCCTGCCAGACTCTTCTTCATGGGCTGCAGTTGCGTTGGACCGCTTCCCTGCGCCTGCACCAGGGCCATGCCTCAGACCCCCTTGCCTGGCCATACTGTGCCTTGGCCATCGCCTGTTGACTCACCGCTCCTGCTCTTTTGCTGGACTGACCTGATACTGTGCGTGCTTCTTACTTTGCTATTAGATTTATGCCCCACCCCCGCCACACACACACACAGAGCGGGGATGCTTTGGGTAGGGCTTATTCCAAGTCTGGCCTAGCCAAATCAGGGCGTGGATGAAAAAATAGCCCAATGAGAACAGCACAACTCCATGAGCGTGTCGGGCTGATTGCAGTATGAGTGGGGATGGGAAATCAGAGGTGAAGGGGATTTGCATGAAGTCTCATCAGGAATAACAGGGCTGGCAGAACCATGTTGCAGGCTCTTGTCCTCCCAAGGATGCAAGCAAGGAGACTGCTGCTTTGAAATAAATACCAAAGGACCTGATGCTTCCCTGGTATCTGCCAGAGACTAACCAGCAGGACTGCTGAACTTAATATCTGACAGAGATGTAGCACACCGTGAAATGGAGATCTGTCAAAATCATTACAGGGCCAGGCAAGCACTTAAGTTCAAGACTTGCATGGAATGTAGCAATGTCTATTATCCCATTGATTTGCAACATGCCTTGAATTTGTTGTATAATAAGAGACTCTGATGATTCCTTATTTGAGATCATAGTTGGCTTAGCATTGTATTACTACGTTGCATGTTTTCAAGCCTGAATTCCTAGTCTTATTAAAATTCTTTGTATGGACCAGAGATCAGTAAATGGTCCCACCCCAATGCCAAAACTGCATCCCAGATGAAGAGGTAAAAGAATATAATTAAAAGGATAAATGGGG